GGATTCAAAGATCCAGATTTGCAAAGGGGGATGGAGATGAGGCACGCACAGAAGAAAATGGACGACTGTGTATATATAACTCTCCATTACACATTTGTAATGGTAACCACACACCAAAGATTCAGAACTGAAGTATATAACATAAAACAAGAAGGACCCGAGGGAAAACCCACAAAAGCCAACCAAAATAAGAAAACAGAAACCTAACAACAAGGAAGTAATGGAAACACCAAGCTACCAGAAAAGCAAAAGATAAAATGGGTATAAGAAAAACTCATATTTCAATAATCACCCTAAATGTAAATGGACAGAACTCACCAATAAAAAGGCATGGAGTTGCAGATTAGATCAAATAAACAAAACCCAACCATACACTGCCTCCAAGAGACATATCTCAGTTCCAGAGACAAATATAGACTCAAAGCGAAAGGGTGGAAAATGATATTTCAAGCAAATGGCATTCAGAGAAAAGCGGGAGTAGCAGTACTAATATCAGATGAAATAGACTGCAATAAAAAATGTAAAGAAAGATACTGAGGGACACTTGATTATAATAAAGGGAATCATGCACCAAGAAGACATACCACTTATTCATATCTATGCTCCCAGCCAGGTAGCCCCAAAATAGTTAAAGCAATTACTAACGATTAAAGGGAGAAAGAGACCAAAACATCATCGTAGTAGGAGACCTAAATACCCCACTGTCGATATGGACAGATCATCCAAACAGAAAATCAGTAAGGAAATAACATCCTTAAATGACACATTAGACTAACTGGACATAATTGACATTTACAGAGTCTTCCATCCCAAAACAGCTGCTTATACATTATCCTCTAGTGCATACGGAACATTTTCAAGGATTGGCCACATACTGGGACACGGAGACAACCCCAACAAATACAAGAGGGTTAAAATCATACCAATCATATTCTTGGATCGTAATGCTTTGAAGCTAGAGATCAACTGTAAAAAGAAGGCGGGAAGAACCACAAATACATGGAGATTAAACTACATGCTACTGAAGAATAACAGTCAGAGAAGAAATAAAAAGATCAAAAGATACATAGAAATGAATGATAATGATAGTACAACATATCAAAACTTTTGGGACACAGCAAACGCAGTCATAAGTAAGAGGAAAGTTCATATCATTATAGGCTTACTTCCAAAAACAAGAACAAGCCCAAATAAACAACCAATGTTTCTTCTTAAAAAACTAGAAAAGGAAGAACAAAAGAAGCCTAAAGTCAGCAGAAGGAAAGAAATCATCAAAATTAGAGCAGAAATAAATGAAATTGAAAACAAAACAAAACAAATATATAAAAAATAAATGGAACAAAGAGCTGGTTCTTTGAGAAGGTTAATAAAATTGACAAATCCCTGGCTAGACTCACTAAAGAAAAGAGAAAAGACACAAATAAACAA